CAGTTTTCTTGCTCCTCACCTCTGAGCCCTTCTCCAGGGCCCTGAGGTCACAGTTGCCATGGGGATGATGGGCAGAGATTGGCCTTGGTTCCTGGCAGCTGGACCTCTTTATTTCTGGTTTTAGATTTCAACCTGAGGGAAATGCACACCAGTCCATGGGGCTGGTGGGAGTTTAACTGGCCTAATCTTTTGGGGATGGAGGTGAACTGTCACTATCAGAAACTTCAATGTGAAAGAACACACCTGCCCGTCCAAGTGGCTGCTAAGCCCTCGAAGGTGGTGAGCCCAGACTGAGGTGTGGTGAGCCCAGACTGAGGTGTGCTGAAGTGGAAACCACACACCAGCCAGCGAAGACTAAGTACAAAAAAGAACGTAGACGACTGCAATAACTTTTGATATTGATTATATGGTAAAGTGATCATATTTTAAATATAATGGGCTAAATAAAATACACTATTAAAATTCATCTCACCATTAATTTCTTTACTCGCCTTAATTAGAAAATCTAGAATTACATTACATAATGTAATTACATTACAGCTACTAGAAAATTTACCATGATTACACCTCACATTATTATTTGTGTTGGGCAGCGCAGGTATATACCCTTTGAACCAGAACTTGATCCCTAGGAACAAATCCTGAGGAATTAAGACAGGCATATAAAGCTGAACATACCAGGGTAATCATGGTTGCCTATTTAGAGCAGTAAGAAATTGGGGGGCCGAGTGTAGTGGCTCATTCCTTTAATCCCAGCACTTTGGGAGGCCGAGGCTGGTGGATCACCTGAGGTCAGGAGTTTGAGACCAGCCTGGCCAACATGGTGAAACCCCATCTCTACTAAAAATACAAAAATTAGCTGGGTGTGGTGGTGCATGCCTGTAATCCCAGCTACTCAGGAGGCTGAGGCAGGAGAATCATTTGAACCTGGGACAGAAGTTGCAGTGAGCTGAGATCGTGCCACTGTACTCCAGCCTGGGCAACAAGAACAAAAACTCTGTCTCAAAAAAAAAAAAAAAAAAAAAGAAAAAAGAAAAAAAGAAATTGGGGAAATGGGCCAGGTGTGGTGGCTTATGGCTGTAATCCCAGCACTCTGGGAAGCTGAAGTGGGAGGATCACTTGAGCCCAAGAGTTCAAGACCAGCCTGGGCAACACAGCGAGATCCCATCATACAAAAAAAAAAAAAAAATCAAAAAATTAGCTGGGCGAGGACTAGTGAGGCTCAGGTGGGAGGATCACTTAAGCCTGGGAAGTTGAGGTTGCAGTGAGCCAAGATTATACTCCAGTGTGAGCAACAGAGCAAGGGGCTGTCTCAAAACAAAAAGAAAGGAAATTGGCTGGGTGCAGTGGCTCAAGCCTGTAATCCCAACATTTTGGGAGGCTCAGGCAGGTGGATCACCTGAGGTCAGGAGTTCTAGACCAGCCTGGCCAATATGGTAAAACTCTGTCTCTACTAAAAATACAAAAATTAGCCAGGCACGGTGGCAGGCACCTGTAATCCCAGCTACTCACGAGGCTGAGGCAGGAGAATCGCTTGAACCTGGGAGGCAGAGGTTGCAGTGAGCCGAGATCATGCTATCACACTCCAGCTTGGGGGACAAGAGCGAGACTTTGTCTCAAAAAAAAAAAA